CCCCAAAACCCCAAAACCCCAAAACCCCTTAATATGTTTTAGAAAAATAGTAAGATGATTTAGTGATTATTCTCTATTTCAATTATTATTTTTTAATAAACTCATTTAGAAGCTTTTGAGTTATTTTTACCAATAGTTGACGTTACAGTACCCTTCTTAGTAGTCTGATTCACCGATACTGACTTACTAATATTGCTTTTGGCATTTTAACTTTAAGTTTAATTAACACCAGCAGCGTATATTGTTTTACCCTCAGTCTAACTATTAGAATTACCTGTGACATTTACTTATGGGAGACTTGAGCTATTTCCAATGATTGTATTATTGCTTTGATTAACAAAATCAGGCAAAGATGAGCTTTAATAGTTCAACTGCTAATTGTATAGCACTTTATCCTCACTCAAAGCCTGACCCTCTGATTATAGGTTCATTTATCCATTATAAGTATCAGTAAATTAAGGCATACCGATCCCTTGAGTCCCTCCATTGTTTAATCTATTGAAATGTGAAGGTAATACGAAATTTTATTAAGGCTACTATTATTATTTTAGCATCTAAGTAATTTATGGTTGCTAGTTATACTGATTAAATTGCTAAGTGTTTATAGATTATGTTATTTCTCTTCCCATTATAGGTGCTGGTTTCCATTAACTATCTTTGGTTTCTACTTTTTTGTATTCAATATCGCTGTTGTTATCTATTTGCATGAATTTTCTTTCACTCTGATACTAATCATTGATATCACTTTGACTATATTAGTAGCTATTTGAATTCTAGAATGATTAATCAACTGTCCTTGATTAGAACTGAGTATTAATATTTTACTAAGGACTTCTGTTAGTTTCAATCACCCTTTAATTCATCGATGGATATTACTATTAATTTTGCAGTTAAGAGTTGAACTGTTGATTAGTATTGCTACTTATATCATTCATTGCAAACATAACCTGCTTTTCCATTTCTTTTTCAATTTGGCTCTAGTAGTTCACATCATTTGGATTTAAAATGTTCATGGCCTCGAAGTTCAAAGCGCAAACTCCTCTCATGAAAGCTTTCTTTAAGTTTTCTGACATCATTGCTTTGTTTTTATTCTCTTATTCTACAACTCCATTTGCTTCGTCAAGTTTTTATCTTAATGATTCAATTTCTTTGCTATATTAAGCGCAAATTTATTAGAGCTCAGTTTTGACTGCTTTCTCAAAATCGTCTCTATTCTTGATAATTTTCCATTCTTTATATTACTTCTCCCAGCCAAGAAAAACTTTTCTCTTTGTGTTTTCTCTATATTGCTCTAATTTATGCTTCAAAACATTCTTAGAATGCTTTTTAAATTCTCTATACTGCTTTAAAGCGTTAAAGCACTTGAACTGCAGAACCTTCATTCTGGCTAGTGTCTTGCCTTTACCTGCCCAAAGAGCCATAATCTCGCATCTGATGCCTAGTTCATCACAAAGCTTGGTCTTTTATCCTAAGTTTTCTTTCAACTATTCAATTTCATTCTATTTTACGCCCAATAAAGTGTTGCATCGACGTCTCTCAGCATCAATAGTCTGACTCTATTCTTGGAGTACTTGCTTTTTGGTTCTCATGAATTCAGACATTGTTTCTGATCTGAAGTTGATGATAAGTGTGTCAAGTTTCTTTTGAAATGATTCAACATCCTCATCAGTAATACTTGAAGCTTGAGAGATATTTCCTCTGTTCAAATAAAATGGTGCTGAATCCATATTATTGGAGGTAGGCTACTGATATCTTAAATTTTAATTGATGCTGTGCTAATCTTCTGTATGCACTCATGATACTGAATCAAATTTGAAGTTAGAGTCACCAATCCCATGATGCCTATCAGAGTATTTCACCTCTTCAATCTATTGCTACATACCTTGTAATCTAGCTTCACTTTGAGATTCACTAGTAGTGCTGATTAAATAGTCCTTTTGCTTTCTGTCTGATTCAATCTAAGTAGAAATATTCCCTACTACTGAGTATTTAGAATCAATAATTGCGGCTTAAGTTCCATTCACCATCAACTCTTTCTTGTTCTAATTCGTTACCTTGCTATTATTCTCTTTGTTATTAGTAATCTTAGCTTTACTCTGAGTCTTTACTAGAGTTGAACTTGAGGCTGTGGCCTTTGACTTTAGACCTGTTTGTTGTTTATTATTGCCAGTAGTGTTTGTATCATTAGTTCTGTTAGTGCTGCTAGTCACTTGCTGCTCTTATTGTTGAGGTGGTCTGAAGTTGCCTTCATTTAAGTCTGAGATAATATCATCAAGATCCAAAGATTCATGAGAGATGCGAAGGGGATTTGTAGCTGCACTTGAGTTAATGTTTTATTTCATTTTTGAGGTAATATTAGAGAGGTTTAAATTCAAATTTAAATTATATAATCAGATCATCATTTGTTTCAAATTATTTGATTTTCTAATAGAAGCATTAAATTAATTTATTATATTAACTTTCATTATTTCATTGAATAAAATGTCATTACCTAGAGTAAGTTAATCCTCTGCTGCTCATTAACTCCTGACTCATTTAACTAATTTTAGATTGCAGGTAGACAATCAAACAATCAAAGCAAGGGAGTTGCAAGCATATTGACGAATTGGGGAGCCCCTTCTTCCCAAGGCCAAGAAAAAAGACCCATTCGAAGGAAAAATTCACAAGAGGATTTGTCAAGAGATCTCATTCCATAGCAAGACAACTAATACAGTTCTACCATGATAACAGACTCACCAAGGCATGAGGGAAGAGGAGACTTTAGAGATGAGTTTCAAATAGATCCAAGGGGTCCCATTCGTTTGAACAGACCAATGAGCAATCAGTTACAATAGTAACAGTCTTCATTTTTGTAACCAGCAAATGAATTGACTCTGCCTCCCTCGCTTTCACAGGACAGACTGATGAAGTTTAACGCAGGATTCGATGGCAAAGCTTTGCTTCATGATTTGGACTAGAAATTTGAAACATAAGATCGCTTAATCAACTACTTGGTTTCTCAGATCAACTCTATGGAAACAAATTATTAATCTCTGAACAGGAAAGCGCAATCCATAGCGGATTAGGAGAGAGATGCAAGGATGAAAATAGAGAATTCAGTCAAGTATACTAACGACTAACAGCACTACAACCTGAATGAAGTTATGTAGAAGATAGGGTTCTTAGAAGATCAGATCAAAAGAGAGGAAAAGACGAAGCTTGAGATGAGAGACCGTCTCAGGATAGCAGATGAAAATAACAGGGAGCTCATGAATTTTATAAAGAGCATTCAGACTTAAAGTGATTAAGAGTTGACGTAAATGCGCTCATACTTGCAAGAGAAGTTAAATGAAGATCACATTGGTACTATCAAACAGAAGGAAAAAAGTACTGTACTGTTTAACGAGGTGGTTAGATTGGGTTAAGAGTATGAGAAGTAGCTAGAGTTTATGCAAGGTCTCAACTAAAACTATGAGAATCGTATTTAAACAATGGAGGCTAGACTTGCTTCAACGGAACAAAATACTTTTGCAAATGAAAAGAGAGGAGATATTGGCTAGAATATGGTAAATGATGTAGTGCAAAAGCTAGAGAGCAAACTGCTGAATGTCGAATAAAACGTGCATTTTATGAGAAATGAGCAGTCAAAGGAGAGAGAAAATTTGAGTCGATTGGAAATTTCAAGTCTGAGGTATAATGAAGACTTTAAGAATATACTTTCACAAGTATAAAATGAGTTCTAGGGTAGATTAGAGATTAAAATGACTGACTTGGTGAATAGGCTACTTCTGGAATAGGAGGAAAGAATGCGTTCACTGGATGATATTAGATATCAATTAGATATCAAGGATAAAATGAATTAGGAGAAGACTAAGCACGAACGTGAGGAAATGCGCGACAGGTATGCAGCTATGGATGCAGTAGTCCGATCTGAATTCCAAAGAAAGGACGAGGCCATCATGTCTTTACAGAATAGTCTGGAGACTCAGATCAGAACTATAAATGGTTGGGTTAAGTAAGAGGAACTTTCTAGGACTCAATAGGAGATTAATCTGAGAACAGAGATAGGTAAAGTCTCTGACGGCATTCGCTATGATGTAGAAGGCTTCAAAGCATAATAGGTCTAAGTAACTGAAAAACTCAGTGAAATGATTAAAATGGAGGTGGACAGCAGACTTCAGTCAGAGAGGGAAAGCAAATAGCTCATTCAGGGTCTGATTAAAAATGTAATGGTAGAAGTGGCTGGTATCAAAGAGCAGTCTGACAAGACACTGCAAAAGCTGATGAAGGATGTGAAGGACACTGCACATGACTCTGCTGAAAGAGCTCATTTCCTAAGTAGGTACATTGATGAGGAAATTATTAAAATTGGTACTAAAGTTACCAAATAAATTGACAACATCAAAACTCTCTGTGCAAAACTAACTGAACAATTCAAAAAGCATTTGATAAACCATGAAAACATGAAGAAAGATATCTATAAGAGATTTGACATTATAGAGAACCACTTGCCAATCTACAGAAGTGAACTGTACAAACTATTGGAAGGTACAGAAGGCAGATGCCTGGGAAAGATGAAGGAAGTCAAGGATGCTATTGAGCAGACTATGCTTACTAACTTCTAAGTCTTGGATGAAAGAGTTGATCAGTTCTCTGAATTGGTGGACAGCAACATGGAGACATTAAGAAAGGCTATTCAGGATAACAGAGAGGTATTCGTCTCAGTCATTAATAAAACCAATGAAGAACTCGAATCAAGATACAACTAGTTTGTTGAGGACCTTGAAAAGGTGGTCAATGAGGTGTATGCCATGTAGGTCAAGGTAGAAGACGGGGATAAAAAGATCAAGGATGAGAGTGTTAAGCTAAACAAAGCTGTTAATGATTTGGAGGCACACATCAATACAAGTATCATTACTGAGAAATCAGTAAGAAAAGCTCAAGATCACCAATTGGCAGAGGAAGTAGATAATATCAACAAGAAGTTGCAGGTAGTTAGTGATAAGCTGTAGTTGCAGATAGACGAGGAAGGCAACTAGATAGGGAAACAAACTACAAAGCTTGAAACTGATCTGTCAAATACAAAGAGGGATGTTGACAAGGTAGCTACTGAACTCACAGAACTCATGTATGAATTTAAAGATCTCAAGGAAAAGGCTATCAGAGATATCCTTCAGTAAGCAGCTTAGATTCAAATGGAAAGCATGACTTCATAACTTGAATCTATGGACATCTATCACAAATTAGATGAGCTCTTCACCAATGCAGGCTAAACTGATACTGTCATCAAGGAGAAATTCGAGAAATTCATGTTAGAGCATTCAGGAGAGCAGCAAGAGGAGATGAAGAAGAAAGAAAAAGAAAAGCTGGATGAGCACCTAGACTCGAAGATAGAAGCAGCCTTTGAAAAACTCAGAACTGATAATCTATACATTTGGAAGCAGTCAATCGAGCTAGCTGAGAAGGAGTTCAGTCAAAAAGGTGTTGGGGAAACCATGAATTTCATGCCAAAACTCCTAATGGATAGAAATGATCTTAAGAGAACAGTTAACACACTTATGCTCGAAGAAAGCGCCATTCCCAAAGCTGTACTTAAGTAAAATGCTCCTCCATCAAAGCCTCTAGAGAAAAGAGACGAGGAGGAGAAGAGATAAGAACCAACTCCAAGAGAAAGTTCAAAGAAGCCAACCCCTATTTCATAAAAAGCTACACCAGATTTAGGGTCATAACAACAATCAGCTTCGCAAAATTCTCTAAATAGCAGTCAAATAAACAAGCCACCAAAGTGAAATAAGGGCTATAAATCATAATTTAATAGTATTGAGACACTTATATATAAGCTCTTCATTCCTAGATACAAGTTTTATTGAATGGGGTTTTGGGGTTTTGGGGTTTTGGGG